ACATGCTGTCAAACTCGAAGTCGTGTTTTTCGATTCAACGAAAATGGAGGTGAACCAACGCGAGTTGAGAGAACAAATTCTTTCCAAACACCTGGAATTTCCTGACCTGTCGCACCGGCAGTTGGGAAAAATGTTGAACATTCACCATTCAACCGTCTCCAGAGTGTTGCAGCGGTTCCAGAAGCGGTTGACGTTGGACCACGGCAAAGGAGCTGGAAGAAAATCGGGACCGGAGAACAAAAAGACGGAGGGAAAGGTGAAGCGGATGATTAAAGCAAATCCCAACGTCTCAAGCCGTGATTTGGCTAAAAAGATCGGCATGTCGCAGAGCTACGTCCAGAATGCAAAGAAGAGAGCTGGACTACATACATACAAGGTACAGAACTTCCCAAACCGCGATGAGCGGCAACAATCGACGGCTAAAACTCGGGCACGGAAGCTCTACGAGAAGATGCTGACAAAATATGGCTGCTGTGTGATGGACGACGAAACGTATATAAAAGCCGATTTTAAGCAAATTCCGGGGTTGGAGTTTTTCACCGGCAAGAGCAAGTTCGATGTGGACGACAAATTTAAGAAGAAGAAAATGTCGAAGTTCGCCTCCAAATATCTCATTTGGCAGGCCATCTGCTCTTGCGGACTGAGGAGTGAGCCTTTCGTGACAAAGGACACAGTAAATGGCGAGATCTACAAATCTGAGTGCCTCGAGAAGCGCCTTTTGCCGTTCTTGCAGCAGCACGACGAAGCTCCGCTATTTTGGCCAGATTTGGCATCATGCCGCTATTCTAAAAGTGTCCTGGAGTGGTATGAGGCCAATTTGTCCATTTTTTTTCCAAAGGACATGAATCCGCCAAACTGTCCGGAGCTGCGCCCGGTGGAGCAGTACTGGGCAATAATGAAGCGGGAACTTCGGAAGAGCAAGAAGACAGTCAAAGACGAGAAGGACATGTTAAGAAAATAAAAAAAAAACTAAGAAACTGGTACCGGATGACACTGTAAAGACTTTGATGGAGGGCATCAAGCGAAAATGCGTTCAATTTTACACTCCATCGATTAACTTTTCTTTTGATTTTTGAAGTAAATATATGTATAAAACTACCCTAAAATTTTGGTTTGATTCTAAACATTATAAGAAAATTGGCATGACATTTTCGGTGTCGCAATAATTTCGTGTTCGCCCTTTATTGCGTGCTCTCAACTTAGTGTTCTAGGTGCACTTCCACAGTTATTTATTGAGAGCTTTCGATGCCTGTACCATTTTTGCATTTGTATAATTGTGTGGCAAGTCCAATCATACTTCTATGCCCAGGGAAGTCGAGAAATTTTCCAACCCGAAAAATTCCTAGACCGGACCGGGAATTGAACCCAGCCACCTCCAGCATGGTCTTGCTTTGTAGCTGCACCTTTACCGACTGAGCTAAGGGAGGCCTCAACCCAGTGGAATCTGGAATTCACATTTTTGTTCATATCTTCGGAACCATAATACCGATCGGGGAAAAAATCAAAAGCGATCTATGGGGATCTGAAACACATCTTCTAGAACTCGTTTCACTCAAAACGAAAATTGAGTGAGTAACACTCAAACGAACTTACATACATGTATACACACATACAGAAACATTTTCCGATCCCGTTGAGATGAGTCTATTGGTATATGCCATTCGTCTCTCCGGGTCTTGAAACGAAATTGTGTTTTAAGTGATATAATAGCCTTTCGGTACACCTTGGTGTACGAGAAAGGCAAAAAGGTTGGTATCAGCAAATTGTGTTATATTTAGCCAAGTTTTTCCCCCCAGGTGTGTAATTATTTTGCAAAATGTAATGAATATGTTGCTTCATATATCTAATTTAAAACTGTATTTCTAAAATCGTTACAACAGCGTTAGCGTTTAGCGCCAATTCATCGTACTTGGCTTCGTTGTACGGTACTCTCCATTTTTCGATGATCTTTATTTCGATATTACTTCCTATTTGAATCGTTTCAGCAACCCTGTTCCTGATTCATCGAAACTTTTTGAGCACGAAGTATTTAGAATCGTATTAATAAGCTGCTCTTTTGATTATCGATTTCTCCATATTTGGGTGGTGGAAAGTTGAATTTCTCACTAAGATGTACTTGTTTCCCCGTTGCTGTAGTGCAAAAGGACCAGTACTAAGTAGCTAATGAATTTCCATACTACATGGTACATAAGATCGATTCAAATTTAAGTTTAAATTGCTCAAACTCTAGAAAACGTAGTTTACTTGTAGATTGAGTAAAATTTTCCGAGCTTCATAAATCTTTTCGAAAGTGACAAAAATCGACGAAAAATCTACCTTTTCTAGGAACATACACTCAAAGAATAAACCACATAGTGGAAAATATTCACTAGAATTTCACATAACTTTCATGTGAATTGCACTACAAAATCACCTAATCAACATGCGGAACCATTGCAGGCAGCTCGTCCTTCTTGCTTGGTGCGCAGACCATCATGGCATTGCCAACTCCAATTAGGTTCAATTTGTTAAAAGCAGTCTTTTTTGCTCAAACATGACTTCGCTTCTATTTCATGACTCTCCACGCAAACCTTCTGCTAGTTAATTGCAGCATAATTACAGGCATTTCTGAAATTCATAGACATTTTTCGCAGACTTCTGAAAAAAATCTGGCGTCTCTGGTGTACGCACAATTTTGCAATACACTGTATAAGACTTAAAGCAGAAAAGTAGCTCTAGTTTGGTTAGATGAAGAGTTATAAAAAAATCTTTTTACAGCAAAGTTGTTGAGATAGGTTAGGTTAGGTTTCATTTATTAGAGAGGCTTTCAGACTGGGGCTGGTTTGCCTTCATTGCTTGAGATATTTTGTTCTACAACTTTGCAGAAGAATATAACCACTTGCTTGTGCAATACGTCGTATATATGTGCACCTACCCTACCAGCGATACAGACATTCACATAAACAAACCGATATAAATATAAAATATAAATATAAAATATAAACATAAAATATAAATGATAACAATAAATAATCATATCAATAGTTTCAGTACCTCATGGCAGGCCGGCAAAACAATCGGTGTTGTTTTATTTTATATCCGTAACACAACCTAGGGATCCCGACCGTGCGCGATCACCATCTATAACATCAAACACAAAAGTTAGATTTCTGATTTTGGTTTAAATGAGAACCACCCTAATCATCGCTCTTACAAAAACGAAGCCGACTTCAATATAAAAAAAAGTGTTTAAAACTTATATAACATATAATTTTCTTGAATACTTTTTGTATATTTTTAATTAAAAGGCATAAGAAAAACGCTATCTTTTCTAAAACTTCAAAGATGAAAACTACAGTATTAACAAACATCATGGAACGACAACTTTAGTTTAAAGTTATGAACTTTTAAATTAAACATTTTCAAAATTAATAAGAACATTAAAACCCCAAAGCACTGCTTATGTTTGAAAGAAGGAAAAATCATATTTTTTTTAAATTTTGGTTTGTTTTAATTTTATGACAAGCTGCGTTTACTATGCAAAAAATAATAAGATCATCAAAAATAAAAAAAACGGCTAATGTTTAAAAGGGTGGCTAAAAAATACCGATTACATAACTAACAGCTTGTTTTAAAAGAATAATGAATCCATCGACAATATTAAATTTCAGTTTATACAATATAAAATTAAAAAAAAAAAATCCCATATTTATAATGTCAAAAAAAACCAGGATTGTGAAACATAAATAATGGTTGCCACCTAGGAATCTAGTAGTGTTCTAAGATAGAAAATCTGTTTTCAAGTATTCGATCAAACTGCATTCGGCCAAACGGCATTCGGTTGAATGGCGTTCGGCCAGATGACATGCGGCCAAATGGCTGGACACTCGCCGAAGACCGTCACGAATGTATGTATTTTAGTTTTTCTCGTAATAAGAGCTGCTGATGTTGTACTTGTGCGAATTCTGAAAAATAGCACGCAACGATGTCCCGCTAATAACATATCTGATCCGAAATTGTTTAATTTACACCAAATCGAGGAATTAGAACGAAATAACATATGTCATATGATAGTTAGGGAGCATCCATAAATGACGTAGCATATTTTTGATCAATTTTAGACCCCTCCTCCTCCCCTCGTAGCGTATTTGGCTATATCCAATACATGGCCGGTCACAAATTCTGAAACCCCCACCTCCCCCCTCAAATGCTACGTCATTTATGCATGTTCCCTTATTTGATATTTTTATTTATGCTCTAATGTTGTTCTACCGTTTGTGTTGTATGAGAGAGACGGCGGTAGAGCATAAGAGTACGAATACTAACAGACTGTCGCGCACGACAACAAAGCGAGTGTAGTAAAAAAAAAGTCAACAGTTTCAGCCCCCGCTCCGTTGTCACAAACGGTTTGGAAAGCACACCACACTCACAAATGGCGTGCCAAACCATAGCCTTTTCAAATGTTTCGCTAAAAATCATCTTATCCGCGTCGTTAAATTAACACTTCGGTTTTGAAAACAAATTCAACGTATGATTCATCGTCCATAATCACGCACACCGATTTTCCACACAGCAATTGACAAATCCAACTTAAACTCACGCGCTCCTGGTGGTAAGAATCGGAAACGACCGACGGTGATCAGTCGGTGACAGCTCTTGGAAAATACGTAAAATGTTGCGGAAATTGTGAAGTTTTAGTGCAAAGCCATACAAATTAGTGTAAAAAATGGATGAAACAGGTACAAAACATAGCAATATATTTGATTTAATATTTTTCTCTATGGAAAAACAGATGGTTTTCGAATAAAACTGAAAAAATAGGTTTACGTTATGGACACACTTTTGTTTATCATCTTCACATAGAATATGAACCAGATGTGGATGTAGATATAAGCTTGTCGGACATTCTGGATTACGTAGGCGATTCAGTTCGTCCTATCCGAGAGGGTTTAGCCGTGATGGAAGCAAACCACATTGTTTGTATGGGATATACGAAAAAAGTTGGACCTTTTACGCATGTGAAAGGATTCGTGCTGCAGAGCTCCCACCCAGCAGACCGTCCTCATGAAGTGCAGCTGAAGCTTTCTGGAGATAATCAAATGTGGGATCTTACCTGCTCGTGCAAAGCAGGTACAAGGAGATGTAAGCACATCATTGCTTGTTTATTGCAGATCAGCCAGTAAGTTTGTATATAGTTTATATAGTTGTATATACATATGAATTTTATATTATTTTAGGTTCAAGGGCTTGGAGTATATGTCGTGCACTGATTCTACTCAAGTGTGGGGACACGCAAAGGCCGAAAAAACTAGTCTTTGGGGAGCAAGACTTGTAACCAGCATGTGTTGTGTAAGACAACCAAAGAAAATCATCTGTTCGGATAGTTCCCTCAAAGAAACCCTTCTATCTGATGCTTTCGAAAAACTTGTAACAGGTAATTGAGTCCAGGATTGGAAAAACAGGGAAATTTAAAATGAATTAATGGCTATTCATAGTCTTGATTTGTAATTATCGTTTTTGTTATTTCAAATTAATGATCACATATATTGTGTTACTTAATACATTTTCAGCTTCACCCGGGTCCGCAATCAGCAAGCACATTGATGGGCGCCACTCAAATCCTGTTGAATTTCGATCGGGCATTAGTTCATGTGGACATGTGGTGCCAGCTCAGGTGTTCTGCACCAACGATGAACTTAAAGCTATGCTATTTGACGATTCGAATGCCGTAGTAGTAAATGCTAAGCAGCAGTTGTCGCCACAAAACGAAAAATTTTATGCAGAGATTGTCCAAGTCTCTCAGGAATCTATACTGAAAATTGCTCAGGAGACTTGTGCCCAAGACAATAAAGAATGGAAATTCCAGCGCTCCATCCGGATTACGGCAAGCTCATGTTATGCTCTATATACGTACGCAAGTAACAAAAAGGCCGATTGGGAAAAAAAAATCACTCAGTTTTTAAATCCCAAATGTTTCGAAACCAAAAGTATGCGTTATGGGAAGGTAACAGAAGACAAAGCTTTTTCGTGTTATACAAGATACAGGAACCCGAACGTAAAAAGAACTGGCTTGCTGGTCAGTCACTGTGAACCATGGATTGGTGGAAGTCCCGATGGAGTGGATCCACTGTCTCACATTTTACTAGAAATAAAATGCCCTGCTTCCGGAGAGGAACACGATATACTATGGATTTTAAAGAACTGTTCTGTCACGAAACGGTATTTGAAGGTAGATGAAGGAGCAGGGTATAAAAAGTATTATTTAAATAAGAAACATGCATACTATGCTCAAATCCAAGTAAATATGATGATACTAAACATTAAAAAAACAGATTTCATAATTTATTCTGCTAAAAGTGATGATTTTATAGTCGCTGAGGTTGACTTCGATCAAGAATATGTAGAAAAACTAGTGAAGGTTCTAAAACCGATATATTTTCAGCACATTTTACCGAAACTTAATCGCAAATCCTAACTAATATTATTAATAATCATAACTTTAATAAAAGTAATAACCAATATATGTAAGTAAACGAAAAACAAATTTTTAAATTAATTTTCTTCTTATCTATCAGGTTCTTTTCAGGATTCATGAAATCTAGACCAACAATTGAAATAGGCGGAACAACCAAACGCAAACAATCGCTTTAAACGTAAATTTCTCGATAATCAACGTACATCTACGCAATCTAACACCAGCATCTGAAAGAGCAAACTTTCTTCATCGAATGAAATTGTTAGTTTGCGTGGGTGTATTATGATCCTCGAGAAATTTGCATTTAAAGCCATTGTTTACGTTTGGTTGTTCCGCCTATTTCAATTGTTGGTCTAGAAATGTACTCAGTTTTTGTTGATTGAATGGTATTTTTATGTATTTCTTTTAAGTTTAAAGTTGACTCATGGGGTGTGTATGGGTGTGTGTTCCACTCTGCTTCTTTATTGAGGTAGCAAAATCATTTAAAATTTGTCGTCGCGAAGAATGGGTGCTGAGAGATTGGTCATTCCACACACAATCTTCATAATTTCGTTAATATGTTTCAGCATACTTGCATCCAAGCTCCCTTGTAGCACTCCGAAGGTTTTAATTCTTGATATAGCACGCTCTACATGTACTCTAGCCTTTGCAATAGATTCATTCATGATTGCTTCTCCTTCCGACAGTCTTCCATTTCTTAGGAAAGGTGGTATATGTAGATGAATTCCACTCTGGAGACACTCTGCCTCAATGGAGAATCCTTTGTTAACCATAATTTCATCCTGGAACTCAACTAGTTTCTCCATGAAGTTCTCCTGGTTGAATATGTACTTATCTGAGGCTTTTCCCGAATATGCTCGACTACAAAAACTGATTAGTCCGGCAGGGGTTACGCCGATCAACAATTTAACAGTTCTTCTGTGTTTGTAGTTGGAATAACTGGAAATGCGGCAATTTAGACAGTTCGGTGTAGCTATACCAATTTCTGTACAATCAAGAATACATCGAACTTTAGAAAAATTTTCTTTGAAACAGTGTGGGATGTTTTTTCTAATTTCTGCTCTTGTTGGCCAAACAATCATCTGCCCTAAGACCTCAGCCAGCACCTGCACAGTGTAAGAAAAATATTCTGCAACGGTGGTTGACGAAATTCTAAACAAAGTAGAAAGAGCAGCAAATGATATATTCTGTTTAAGCTTAACCATCGTTAATATAACTCGATCTCCAGTGTCCATCTTGTATCGCTTTGGATAGATGTTGTCTTCGAGATTTTTTAGCATCAAAGAAATCGTTTCAAATAACTTCAAAGAAGATATGCCTGTCCACACCGCAAGATCTTTGTCTGTGAGTAGGAAGTCACTTAGAATTATATCTTTCTGGTTCTGAAAACTCCTGAAAACTTTTTCTAATTCTTCGGCATCCGTTCTACACTCAACTATTTTGAAATCTAGTGTTGGTCTCGATGAAGAGGTGCAGTGACATTGTGAATCGTCCATTTCATTATGAAAAGGAAGCTCAGCGAAAAACTGTACGTTATCAACGTGTGCTTCAACTGGTGTGTTGTCCTTATCAACATTTGCTTTATCGTTATGTTCACATGTTTCGTTGGATATTGTACAAGTAGAGCAATCTCCATAGTTTATTGAGCATTCTTTATCGGAATTTATCATACTATCCTCGGTCGAACTATTCTCAGGTATTAGATCAGCTTCAGGCTTACGGAACGAAACTAATTCACGCTTGTATGGGTTGCGTGCATCCAGCGTTTGATATAAATGTTTGGATGTTCGTGGTAACATTAGGGAAGGAACAGCTGAATTCTTCAGCACATTCAGACCTAAAATAAATATATAATAAGGTATATTAAACGTCATACTTTTTATGAGGATATTTTGATTGGTATTATAAATTTCATAACTAGTCCGGGATGAGATTTGAACTGAGTGGGCTTGGCCTTTAGTGTTGCTTTCAAAGTTGCTTATATAAAAAAAAACATAAAGACGATTAACTGACATTTTATTTTATTTGCTTTTAAATTTGAAAACCATTATAAGTTTCAAAGACCTAATTTCTTGAAATGTCAAGGCTCCCTATATTTAATCTGCATAAAGTGTATCCAAAATTTACTAGATCTCGGACTTCGCATATTTTTCATACACAATAATGTTTAGTATTTTTATCATAATCCAACGTGATTTTTTTTTTAAATACGGGTTGAGGTATTTTTCTGATTTTTTATCTTTAGTAACCCAAATTGATTGCAAACTTTCACTTTTTTGTTTATGACTCCGGAACCAAATGTCCAATCGGAATAAAATTCAATTTGGCTCTATGAGAGTAATGCCTTGTTCAGACTACAGAGTTATAACATGTTATAGGACTATCTTGATGGTGTTTTCTGTGTTGCAATTATTTGACAACCGTTATAACATGTTATAACTCTGAAGTCTGAACGTGATATAAGAATATAGAAAATTAAATCAATTGAAGTCAAATCGGTCGTGCTTTCTCCGAGTGTCGCTCGATAGAATTCTGTTGCAGCGATCAGAAAAGATTAAATGGACGCTTCTAAAATGTCCATAACATTCAGCCATGTTTCAGCCACCGGAAAAAGAGGTTGTGCTTGCCTCCCAATATACAAATTCATGCATTGGTAAGCATAGAAAGCTCTCAATTAATAACTGAGAGAGTGCTTCATGAACACTACGCTCGTAAAAAAAAATTAAACGCCTATGAAAAACAGCAACAGGTTAAAGCATATATAGCGTTTTTAAATGAGACCGTTTACTTCAATGAAGGACATATTTCCAAATTATTCAAAAGAATGAGGGAATTACTGGTAGGTTGAAAAGTATTGACACGGTGTGCCCAAAAATTTTAAATATCCAATTCGCAGCATTTGAAAAATTTAGTCAAATGTGGGTAAAATACTGCAGAAAATATGTTTAGAATTTAGAATTGTTTTTTAAACTGTATCTTTAAAAAAAAAAAAAAAGAATGAAAAGCAAAGAATCAAGAAAATTTTATGGGATGGATTTGTTTAAACTAATCATAATCGATGAAGTCTTTCCTATTTGTTGCAATACCAGAAGTTAAAGATTTTATTAGTTTTAAATAATTCTAATATTACCCTAAGGTTGATCAGATTTACAATTTAATTCTTGACATCATACACGGTAAGAAAAAAGTACCCAACGGCCAGTTCACTTTTACCTACTTTTGACTAGTTTGTCTCCTTTTCTCTTTCTAATGTTGTCAAAAACGGAGGAGCAAAACCACCCAACAGGGGTAGTAATGTGTGGGAACCCAACGTTGAGTATAATCATATTTACTTACTGTTGGGTACAAATAACGTACTTTTGGTTAAAAAGCCAGTGGAAAATTCCATACGAACTGCACACAAGTAAATGAAAATTACTTTGGCTCGCTTTACCTACTTTTGGGTTCCTGCACTATAGTGCCGAGATGAGTGAAAAGAACTTAATTTTGGGTACTTTTTTCGAACCGTGTACAACACGCAAAACCCAGTAGGCAATTTTATTTTGAAGCAAAATTCACCTGGCTGAAATGGGAATCAGAGTCTAACTTCGTGGTACTCACACACAGTTTACCTAAACTACGGATAATTCCACTATTCGCATGACCATTACGAATAATTTTATGACAAAGAATAATTTTATTATATTACTAAAATGAAAGTCTGATAGCTTAATTTTGGAAGTCTCAGGATCTTGACATGATTCTAAATTCCGAAATTTAAATTTTTTCTGGGTCCCAGATCATTAAATTTTTTGTTAGTCTGATTTTACTTGGAATTCTTCTCAGGATATTTTCGCCCTTTTGTTTATTTCCATTTTAATCATCCTAGAATTCCATCATACTTTATTTCTCTATTCCCCTAAACAAATTTTGATAATATCCAAACTTTTACAGTAACATTCTAAGAGATCTTAGCATTACCTATTTTAATCTCTTATAATTCACTCTCCAATTCAACAATTCCCTCAAACTGGTAATAATTCCCAAGAATTGGCACAATTTTGTGTCCATTTTTCTCTATGAAATTCTGAAAAAAAAAAATCATAATAATTTCTTTGGTACACTCTTCAGAATGACCGTCACGCTCTTCTCAGACTCCGATAATTCCCTTTGAACTGCGTGAAATCCTCTTCAGTATTTCCTAATTATACTACTATATACTAGCTACTCAGAAGTAGCTTGAATTTCTCGTTTTATTTCACAAGGAATTCACCTTACACTTCACGGTGAACAATTTGCAGAATTGCCTTAATTATGTAATGTCCAACGTTGATAGACGTTGAGTAGCAAGTTTTGCTTTTTACTTTTTTGATTAGATGGTAAATCAATTGCAGTGATATTTTTAAACAACATGTTTCAAAAATCTGGGAAAATCTGAAACATATTTAAAAAAATATTGAAATATACGTGGTATGTCTGTGTATCTGGCAAGACGACTAAAAATCTGGAAAATGCAGATAAATCTGGAATACTGGCAACGCTGCTCTTGATTATTTTATATTTATTTAGATTTTGTTTAATCTTAGACTTAATTTACTTATGATATTGATGCAACTATAATAAATATGAGAATATTTCTAATCCCAGATAAGTTAATATAAATACCAGGCTATGATTTCATTTTGAAACCTTCAGTTTATGCTGTGCTTACCTGTTTTATAATCGCTGCTGTGAAAATGCTGGCTACACACGAAGGAGTTTTTTGATGGTTTCGTTGAGCTTTTGATAGCATGGAGCCAAGAATTCACCATTTCACGGTTTTTCGGAAACTTATGTAGAAATACGCCCATGCTGCTCCTAGCTACGCAACCATATACTGAACAGTTTTTATTGCTCTTGGGTCTCAGGTCTTCCATGTAGTAGGTATGATCTAGCAGACACTGTGGTACA